AGCGCCTTCCAATTGATGATCGAACGCTGGACGTCCTCTGGCAGAGGCGACCACCTCTGCAGCGCATGGTTTGACATATAACTTCCCAGCGACTGCCCCAGCCTGTCAGTTATTCCACCCCTGTGCCACATTTCAGCATTGCGTCCCTCAGGGAGCCTGGGACGCGACGCGTGCACATATTACTCTCTCTCTCTCTCTCCTTCCTCCTCTCCGCCAACATGCTCTCTCCCTCCGTCCTGCTCGTTGGTTAACGAAGAGGGCGCATCACGGGACGGCGCATTGCAGCATCAGTGATGTGTGCGCGTGCTGTGTTTCCTTTGGTCCTCCTCCTCCTCCTCCTTCTCCTCCTCCTCCTCTTCCTCCTCCCCCATTCCTCGGGTTCCTCCCCTCCTCAGTCCCATTCCGCTCCACGTCCGTCCCCTACCCCTTTCCACGCCCATTCCTGATCTGATCATTCCTCGCCTCTCCTCGGAAGCACCGGAATGAAGGCATCTCTCAAGCATACCTGAGCAAAACTGGATGAGCAGCAGGCACGCCGGGAGTGCTGAAGTGCGCAATCCCCAGAAGGCTCGCACACGCTACATTGAAGGGTCCCTCGGGCACACAAACAAACACACACAAATCAAAGGATTCCCCATAGTTTCCAACATGTTCTGGGTGTTTGTCTTCCCCCCCACTTCCTATATATTTTCCCCTATTTTCTGGGGAATCGAGGATGAACTGTGTCTGTGTGTTTTTTGTCCCTCCTGCTACATGTGCGATGCCGTGACTCGGAGAGCATGCCATCGGATGGAGCCCTAACGGGGCTGCGCCTCCTGCCGCCGCCACGGGCCCACCCCACGCCCTGAACATGCGCGCACTTACGGCCAGCAACACTCCCCTCTGCTCGAGAAGGGGCTGAGAGACTAGAAACCGCATACTCCAGATTTCGTAATCAAAGGGAGGGGGTCTCATTTCGGGGGGGGGGTCTCTTCCAGGCTATCTTGGAGGGCCTGGGGGGGTCTGGGGACGATGTTTTGGAGGGTTCTCCCACGGGGGGGGGGTCTGAAATGGCTTGTCTTGGAGGGTCCAGACCCCCTCCCTTTTATTACGAAATCTGGAGTAGGGAAACTCTCAACCCAACCTGCACCTGCAGAGGAAAACGAGATGGAGGGGTAGGGAGCAGAGTACGCACCGTTGCGAGCGAGCGCCACATGTGCGCTGCGCCGCTCGTTACCTCCCGGCGAAGATTGGGCGGCTCCCTCTCGGGGTCGGCTTGGCATGCTCGGCTCGACTCTTCACACCGATGCTTCCGATGCTGCACATGCAGAGGGAGGGAAGGGAGGGTGCTGCACTCGCGGCGCTTTGATATAAACGTCGTCGCCGGAGGTGCTCCCGACCCCAACCCAGAGGTGCCTGCACGGCCAGAAACCGCACAGGGCGCCACCGATCCCAATGCACATGTGCAGGGAAACCCTGGGGGAGTCCGACAAGCATCGGGCGAGTCTTGAAATGAGAGCCTTCGGCTCCTGAGCCGTGCTGCTGCAGCTGTGCTGGGGCGCCATGCCTGCTGGAAGGCGGCGGGGTCCTGCAACCCCCCCTCCCGGAAGCACGCGCAACGCGCACCCTGCGCGTTTCCCCTCCGACGCGCCCCTGGCGCCAAGCGACGGGTGCAGGGCCACGGGCCGCGTTTACCGCGAGCTCGCTTGTCGTGGTGGCGGTGCGACAGGTCTGCACGCCTAGGGGCCGCGAGGGACCGCCTCCCCCGCGGAGAGAAAACAACAAAAAAAAAAAAAACGAGCGGTGCAGGAGCGGAGGTGCGGGCGGGAGGCGGAACGCCAGCAGCCGGCCCGACCGAGGGAGAGGAGGAACGGGGGGGGGGCACCGCCGAACGGCGCCAGGCGGTCGAGCGGTCGTGGCGCACACCACGCACGCACGCACCCACCACACCCAGATACTCGAACATCCTCCTCCGCCTCCCGGGGCCAGGGGGTTCGCAGGCTCGCCGCAGCGCTGCAGCCTGCCGGTGGGGCGACCCGCTCTCTTCGGCCCCCGGGTTTCTCGCTCGTCCTGCCGCCAGCTGATGGGGGTACAGCAACTAGCGCAGGGTGGGGAGGAGGGTGACGTGGAGGCGCAAGGTTGCGGGCTGGATTCTGCCAGTCGCTCTGGCGGCCGTGAAGCCAGGCTCGGTCCTACACGACGCCGCGTGCATGCGACTGCACACTGCATCTGTACACGAATGTGCTGGGCTAGGCCTGCGCGCCTAAGCCACATTGGAAGAGTATGATCCTCCATCCTTCGCGCCCACCCACACACACACGCACACACACACACACAAAAAAACACCCACACACACACACAATCACACACACACTTTGGAGCTGGCGGTGCAGAGGGTCCTCGGGCGCAGGCAGCATATGAAAGTGCTAACTGCGATCGGGCACGAAGACGCAGTATACGAAGCGTCGCGCACTGAATCGCACACACACATACACACACATACACACACACACACACTTAC